TCCTAATGATTCTACTTCCAAACTGTCATTTGAAATTTGTCTACAGCAATCACTCCTAAAGACCTCTCAGCTTCCATGAACATAAGGCCCCTCTAAACTCCAAACTTCAGAATGTCCACTAGGTGATTCTTGTGTTTTAAACTATCCAGTGGCTTTTAATTGCAGTTAGAATCCTGCCTCTATCCTTAGGCCTCAGGGCCATTCAAGATGTGATCTAATCTACCCTCCCTTTCTTTCCTCTATACTCAGGACACAATGATCTTTCCAGTCTTGAAAGTTGCCTGGCTCCTCCCCTGGCTCTTACATAGTCTTTGCACCTATTCTTTCCTAAAATATATTGTTCCTGGAGATCTTTTCATGATTATCTTCACAATTTATTTTTCAAAAACCATCTCTATGTATTGACACACTCTTGCACACTCTGTTGTATTATTCTTCCTGCATTCTAATTCTTTTTTATTTTTAATAAAACTCTTTGTTATCTGAAATTGTTAAGCATCAATTTACATTTGGAATGTACCTCTCTCAGAACAGAATGGCCTTGTTGCCTTTTTAGGAAAAGGTGGGGAAAGGAAAGGCTCATCATTCTTTTATGATGAGCCTACATCATAGCAGATATAGAGTGCTCCAATTCACCTGGAGGTAACCATAATTGGTCTTTGAATAAATACTTACTCGTACCAAAACAAAACCAAAAGTAGTTGTTCCCTTCAAAGTAGAAGTTTCATAGAATTTTAGGTTTTCGAGTCATGTTTTATCAGTTTACAACCAAGTGTCAGTATAAGATAATGCTTCTGGAGATCATTCTATATGAGACATTTAAACCAAGTTGTGGGCTTACATCAAATAGATGACCCATGAGTAACTGTTTCATTTGTATGGCATTCACTTAGGTTATTTAGGATATTAAATCAACAAAACATTTCCCAGCATCTCCTAAAAAACTCATCTCCTTACTGCAAACTCTTATTTAGTGGCTTTCTGTTGATTTATCGAGAATCCCTGGAATTAAAGCATTGACCACAAAGTGTTCCCAAATTCCCACAGTATTTACCTAGTTCATAACTATTTATACATAGTTTTGTGTACTTGATAAGGACAGGGAATATTTTTGGAGACTTTGTTTTTGAGCCCCTGTGACCTGGGAGCTCCTCAACAAAGGCATGAACTCTACCACCCATCCGTAGAGGAAGGAGATAAATAGAGCACTAAGAAGGGAAGCATCTGAGTGTCAGGTGAGGACAGCTGTTACTCTCTGGTCCCCACATGTTAATTACTTCTGAAATCTACGTTATTGTTTTGTGTAACCCGGCTTAAGTATTCTGCTCCAGAGTCTTTATGCATTAATCTATAGCAAAGATGGGGCAACCAAGGTTAGGGGTTGGAATGGGAACAGTGAGAGAGAAATGGGTTTTGCAGAGGGCAGTGGTTTACCACCCTGCACAATTCAAATAGAAAATGGGGATAAATCTGAACATTGTCTTTTCATATAATAAAGTGGATTTTAAAATACTCGATGCAGACGAAGCACTTTGCCAATTTTTGTTGTTACTGCTTTGTTCTGAGGTTCATCTCTCTTGATTAAGGGAAGAAAGTGGCAAATGGAGTACGCAGAGGCAGAGTGAAAGGTGAATTAATCTAAATCAGCCATATTAGATAGAAGAAGAGGAGTTGGAACTGTCCTTACAAAGAATTCTTGATTTGATTTTTTTCCCCCTTTAAACCTTAAGTCATCTGTTTTCAAAACTTCAATGTGAACATCACTCACCTGATAACAGTATTAAAATGTCAATTTCCAAGACCCCCACCCCATCCTGCCTCATAGTTCAGATGTAGCAGGTCTATGGCAGAGCTCTAGAATGGATATCTTAAACACTTACCCCAAGTCAACCATGATGCAAGGGACCCTAGAACATTACCAGGGCATGGTACCACACCCATGTAATCCCAGTGACTCAGGAGACTGAGGAAGGAGGATCATAAGCTCAAGGCCAGCCTGGGCAATTTAGAAAGACCCAGAGTCAAAATAAAAATAAAAAGGGCTGGAAATGTAGCTCAGTGGTAAAGTGCTCCTGGGTCAAATTCCCAGTACCAAAAAGAAGGAGGAGGAGGAGGAGGAGGAGAAGGAGAAAAGGAAGGGGAAAAGGGAGAGGAAGAGGAGGAAAAGGAGGGGGGGAGGAAGGGAAGCACATTGGCAATGATGAGTTTTTACCTCTAAAAATGAATGAGGGGAGTGAATGGGAATGGGAAATGGTGACATTAGAGGTGACCAAGGTGTCTAGCTTTTCAACCCTGGCTAGTCACTGCTCTTCTGACTCAGCACTTCTCCATCCACTTTGCCCAAATCATAAAACTCACACAGTTTTTCAAGATAACACTTCTTAACAGCCTAGTTCTTTGGATTTATGTATATTTTTAGAGCTGATAAATGAAATTTCTCTTTTTCTAGGCACATTCTGTTTTTCTATTTCTGGAGGATACCAAAAACCTCATTAAGAAGTTTACTCAATTGCATGGGAGTATGAGCAGCTGAAGAGAAGAAAGAGATGAAATAGATGAAAAAAGAACACAAATCCTCAGATTACTAATATGCAAATCCCTAAGCACAAGCTGAGTAAATACATTCAATTCCCACTAACAGCTTCAGAGAAAGGCAAATTTTATTCACTTCCTGCTTTCCCTGCTAATCATTTGTGTAGACCTTTCATAAAATAATCAAAGACCAAAACATCCCTCTTTCCAGGTTTAAAAAGAATTCATAGATTATAAATACTATCCAAGAGAATATGACCTAATCCTGATGACTTGGTAAACTATTTGACCAAGATATCTTAGCTGGCTTGAGGTAGGTGACTCTAGAGACATTTTTTTTAAGATCTTAATAGTGATGACTGAACTAGCAGATCATGAAGTCTATTTCCTGGATCTTGACCATTATTTTTAGAAAAATTAAACATTAAAAAGAAAATGTCAGAGGTATTAATTACATACACAGCCACTGTTGCATGAAACATGTTTATATATGTGTGTACACTCAACACACCTTTACACAAACATGTGCAAATTGGATTACCACATAAAGTCTATATTTTATCACAGGTTAGACCTTAAGTTGGGAAACCTGTTCTATTCCATTATATGGCCTCAAAAACTATTTGAAAGAAGGAGCACTGGAACTGAGTCTTCAAAGTCTGTTACAATTTTACTGATACCAGAGAGAATCCCACATTTCCTACCAGATCTCTAAGGAAGTATCATCCTCAGTATTTACAAATTAAAAATTAAAATCTGCCAGGCATGGTGGCACAGGCCTATAATCCCAGTGACTCCAGAGCCTGAGGCAGTAGGATCTCAAGTTCAAAGCCAGCCTCAATAACTTAGTGAGGCTACCTCAAAATTTTAAAAAATTTTTAAAAGGAGAGCGCTGGGATGTGGCTCAGTGGTAAAGTGCCCATAAGTTCAATCTCTAGTACTAAAAAAATAAAAATCTGTAATGCCTTGTGTGAAAATTTGTACTGGGGAAGCAAATGCCACAATCAAGCCAAAGGCAAACTCAATATTCATTCATCATGCAGTATTTTGAATTGTAGTTGAAATGAATAAGCCGGAAAGGCAAACGAAAATGAATTCAATTGATGGACAGGAGGAAGGAAGGAAAGACTTAGAAGTCCAACAATGGGCATATTTAAGTAAATTAAGACACCATGCTCTATTGTAGTCACATGATTTCAGTTGGGGAATACCCTCTGATTCAGAGTTTCCAGAAGGGTGTTATTCATCATCTAGAATAGGCTTCCCCAACTTAGATCCCAAAGATGGTAGTATAGCAAGGATCCAGAGCATTCTTAAAAGGTATATAGCTCAGCTTGTGATGGGAAGTTCTTTTAATGACAAAGCAATTGAAGTTTCACTATGTCGAGGAACTTTGAGGAAGTCACAAAAATCCACAATTTAAAAATATATTTCCTATTATACACACATAACTACTTTCTAGAATAAAAACCAAAGCCTTAATATGAGTCTGTTGTTTACCGTGTGTATGTTGTACCAAGGTATATCAAGTAATATCAAAATGTTCAGTCACCTTCCAAAGGTTCTTATTAGAACGGGGCAGAACCTGACAGTAGACTTTACTAAGATGTCCTGGAGTAAGAACGAAAGAACCTAAAATCAAAGACTAAAATCTTTGTGATTTCAGGTGTTTGTTTATTTTAAATTTTTGAGATATAATAGATTTTAAATCTTAAATTTTAAGATATAATAGATGTAAGTTTATTTTAGTTTTGGACACTGTTTGTTAAGAGTAGTTAAGTTAGATTCTTTTTTTTTTTTTTTACACATTTTTGGCACATATAGTTGTATGCCGGATTTTTGTTACATATTTATACATGCACGCAATATAATTATACAATTTGGCCAATATCATTCCCCAGTATTTCCCCCTTTCCCTCTTCTTCCTCCCCCATTTTTTTTTTCACTATAGTATGATGACTTTAATTTTTTAGGATAAATACTGAGTCGTGGTACTGCTGGGTCATAGGGTGGTTCCATGCCTAGTCTTGTGGAACTGCCATGCTGATTTCCACAGTGGTTGTACTAATTTACAATCCCACCAAAGTGTAAAAGCGTTCCTTTGTCTCCACAACCTCTCCAGCATTTATTATTGTGTTTTTGATGGCTGCCATTCTGACTGGTGTGAGATGAAATCTCAGCTGCAGTTTTGATTTGCTCTAATTGCTAATGATGCTGAACATTTTTTTCATGTGTTTGGGAGGCTTTGTAAAAAATTTTTTTCTTTTGACAATATATTTCCATTCACTTGTTGAGTGTTGTTCTTCACGAAACCTTACTTACTTACGGGAAAAAGCGGGGCTGGAAAGTTTCACTTTTCGTTTCGTTTTCATAAATATTTATCCCAAGGACCCAGCTGACAGGGAAAAAGCCCACACTCACCTAGTGGAATTGCCCTGGGGCGGAGCTTTGTGCCAGAGGGCGGGGACGCCCTCGCTCGCGAGTCTTTAGAGCGCACACGCTACATCCCCTGGTCGCTTAATCCTGGGTACCGGCTCCCGGCGCAGCCAGCCACGAGTCTCCCCACCCGCAGGTAGGGAGCGTCCTTCTCCCGCCCCGCACCCACTCCAGGTGTCTCTGGTCGCTACTGGAGGCATTTAAAAGACAGGGTCTTTGGGATGGAGAGAGGAGAGGGAAATGGGAAGTGTGATACTTGGTGGTGCAGCAGAACTCATTTGTATGGTAGAGTTAAGACCTAAAACCAGGCAATATATCTGGCCTTTTGACAGTTGCTATTGTTTTGCACTAATGTCAATCTTTTATGTGAGTGCATGTGCATGGATACGATCCTGAGAGGTAGCTGGGTCTAGAGAGAAATTACTAGATTGGAAACCGGGACATTTGGCTTCTAGTCCAACATTAAGTTATCACTTGTAATATGACTCAGGGTAAGTCATCCCACCTTCAGCATCTCCTAAGGTCCCTTCCAGTCTTGAGATCCAGGATGCAAAGGCCTAAGTTTCTTGCTGTATCTGCTTGAAAGATCAAAGGGAATCCTGGAGGAAGAGTGGAAGAGCCTAAGAATAAAAATGCTAAGACATTTCTTAGACACATTGACTTTGACCTATGTCTAAATTCAGTTTGGGGTTGCTTTAAAACACAAGGAGTAAAAGTACCATTGTTCTAACTAGTTGTTGTTATTGTATATTTAACTGTGAATGCTTTTCTATGAATTAAGTAGCCTTCTAAAATATTTTTTAATTGTTGTATTTCATGGTGCTACAGAACCAATATTACCCTCCCATTGCTGAACATAATGGTTATTCATAGGGTTCACTACGCTAGCCATTCACCAAACCATTGCACATAAGTCTCTAGGAAATTGCCAATTTTTGCCTTCAGATAAACTGTTAGAAGTGTAAATAGTCAGTGTCTTGTATATTTGAAAGACCTTTTCATGAATATTTAAAAGTGCTTTCCAGAAAAGATGTACCAGTTGACAACGATAGTGGTCAACAATATATAAGGAGAACTATGATACTCGAAGAAAAAACAAAAAGTAGATTTTTTTTTCGTGGAAAGTGAGGTAGAAGCTACATGATAGCAGTCAGAGTATGGTCTTCCACAAAGCCTGAGAAATAGCTTGGGGGTTTGAAGTCGCATGTGGAAAATGTACAAGAGTGATTCAGTGTGACTGGGGCAGGGGGATGAGGTTTAGTACAGTTTAATAGAGCTTAAAAATTTACTAAAGATTTGATAGATCAACTCTCTTAGTCCTTGCTTTTACTTTTGAGAAAGAAAACTTGCATTGTTGCATCTTTCTCATAGCCGTCCTACCCTGGGAAGATAGAGACATGGTATCACTTCCTTGGTGTTGTACTGGACTTCTGCCAGGGGCAAACCCACTTCCCCATCCTGAATGAGCCCTTGTTTCTTCCCCAGGCTACATTTCATTGCTCTGTGAAAGTGTCCACTCTTGTCTGGGAATTCACACAAGGTCAGTTTACCTGAAGAAGACATCATTGTTCTCTTGGATCAACTACTCTCATGTGAGTTTTAGAGATCAAAGAACATGTTTATTTACATGGTCTCTTTCCTCCCCCTTTTCTTCTCCCACTCATGATAGTTGCACTCCAAGGGAACAAAGCCTTAGAGGAGAAGGGATGATGAAGAATTAGGTAAATATCAAATCTAATCCATCACCTTCAGTAAACTTTAATTGCATCTAAAATTTCAACGAGATTCATTAAAGGATTAAAACTCCACCAGAGTATGCCATAAACATTTTCAAAATTAGTTGTAACCCACAAGTGAATTTAGTGTCTCTCTGTTTTATTCAACAGTGCTTTGCTTGTAATTAGGGGTATCCCAAATCCTCTACTGCCTGATAAACATATTTGTGTTTATAATATCACATTAATATTTTAAAATTGTGCTATAATCAATACTGGCTCAATGAAAAGACACTCAGATGCTGCAGCCTCATTTTTGCAACCTTTGTGTCCTCAAAGGATTAGTTATATTCCTGCTTCTTATCTGCAGTGTAGCTGGAGAGGAAAGAAATAAGAATTGTGCACCTTGAACTTGCAAGAGGATGATTCATTTTATTTTTAATATTTTCATATATGCATTTTTAACATGAAAGAAACATGTTAGCATAACTATACAAAGAAGTTATCAGATAATTCCCAAAGAACTAAATGATAAACAAACCCACAAAAAATTCAAGTTCTACTTTTCAGTAATGAAATTAGGAAAAAAATTTTAAATAATGCCAGAGGTGGATGAATATACTATATAATGGTACCAATTTTCAGAATAAGAACCAAGAAAATATTTTTTTCTCCTTGATCAGCAATTCTTTTGGGGGAAATCTGTCTTTAGGGGCTAACCTGGGGCCTGGCACATAATAAACACTCAATAAATAGTTTCTGAATACACAACACTTGTGATTTTTTTAAATTGGCAATAATTTGATACCTAAAAATAAATGAATAGAATGAGACTATTAAATAATGTATATGAATATCACACACCAAATGGAAAACATTTTTCATAACCTTCAATAAAAAATTAATATTAAATGTATGTTAACATTCTCTTCTTTTAAAGATTCATAGGGAAAAAGACTGAAAGAAAAATATTTTCCTGAAATACATTGGTCACAGAGTTTCTCAACCTTGGCACTTATTGTTTTCTAGGCCAGATATGTCTTTTCTGTAGGAATGCTGTCCTGTGCTTCAGAGCACGTTCCTGGCCTCTCTCCTAGATACCAGCAGCAACTCTCCTCTGCCCAAAACCCGTTTTGACAACTAAAAATGTTTCCAGGTTATTACTAAATGTCCCTGCATGACAGTGATAGAATAGAGGGTTTTCTCCCTCCTTTCTCTTTTTTCTGTAATGTGGTTATATCACTTTTATAGTGAAGAAAAACATTAGATTAATATCCTCATTCTACCTCAATATTTGGACTCCATTTCTGGGGTTCTTCCATTATACCACTTTAGTTTGCCAAAAACTCATCATTTTTTTTTTCTGATAAGAAAAGTAAAACCATTATTCATTTGAAAACTCAGAAAAACACTGATGAAATCAATCACAATCCCATTTATCCTTTTTCTTCCTTTTAAAAACTATAAGTGGGTGAAAACTTACTTGCCTTCCCTCTAATTTCACTCATAGATATGATCATTGTCGGTATTTTGGACACTTCCTATGTCTAAAGACACACACACACACACACACACACACACACACACACACACACATACTTTTTATTTGTTGAACAAAAATGGATTTCTGCTTCATATACTGTTCTGAAGTTCCCTTTCTATGCCTCCTTTTGCAAAAGCAATACATATACATGTACTGAATTCTATCCTTAATGGTATCATATCAACAGAACAAAATTTATTTAACCATTCAGACCATCTAGGGTAATTTTTTTTCTGTTTGGAGATATTATTAACAATGCAATGTCTTTACATATATTATTGTATTATGTGTTTGTGGGATTGTATGATAGACTTTTAGGAGAGTAGTGAAAGGTCACAGGGACAGATACATTTAAAATTTCAAAAAAGATTACCAAATAGCCCTCGGAAAAAAGATATACAGCTTCTCCTTCCCACCATTGATGGGCAAGAAAGCCTATTTGTATATGTCCTCATAAACACCAAACATTAGTAATCTTTGTAATTTTGGTCAAGCTAATAAGTGAAAATGATATCTTATATCCTAAATGTACATTTTATTGGTGCCATCCTTTCCTATGTTTACTGGTATTTTTTAGTCTCTGAGCTGTATGTTAGAAATTATTACTTGTTTTACTCTTGGGTTACTGTAGTTTTCTTATTGATTTTTAGGAGCTATTTATATATTGGGAACATTAATCTTCTGCCTTATATATCTGTAGCATTGATTAATTTTGTGTGTATTTATATAGAGGTTGGAGAGATACTGACTTTCTTATCAAAGTGTATAAATATAACACAAAAGACAAAAATGTGTTAATAAATAAATAGCATGGCTGAAATACCACAAATTTGTCTTCCTCCCCTACTTGAATATAAACTCCAAGAGAAGAATGACTTTTCTTTTATATTCATTGCCATATCTCCAGTTCCTAAAATAGTGCCAATCACAGAAGAAGTGCTCGATCAATGGTTTGCTGAATAAAAAAAATCAGTAAAACTTTAAGCGAGATGATAAAATGAAGAAAAGACTCTGGGAGAGTGACCATGAGATATTCATATCTTAACATAAATTGACCAACTCTCTCATCTTCCCATCTCTTGTTACTAACAAATTCTGTTTATTGAAAGAGTAGGATTTGTAGTTTGGAATAAGTGAGAGGCATAAAAGATTTTGAGGGATGCATCTGGCCTACTTGTTATAATAGAGTGGAAGTCTTGAAGAGCCAAAGGTTAAAATGAAAATATTTAGTCATAGAAGGAAAAGAAAAATATTGGAAGGTGAGAAGAAGAAGTCAAATTTTCCTTACTTTGAAATTTTTGCATAAGGCACATTTGAGTTTCTAGATAAGTTACCATGCAGAAAACATGAAATAACTGAGAGGATTTGGGCAAAGTATTTTCTTCTTGGCTTTTGTTGAGTGTACATTACAATTTACAATTTTCTTCAGGCCTGTAACCAAATTTAAAGATGCTCATCACAGTAACTCTATTCACTTGGCTTTATGCAGTTCTGTGCTATTAAATAAAGATATTTAACTTCCAAATTCCCCTGCTATGGTTCCACACTTAGACATCAGTTATCACCTGGTTATCAGGACTATTTCACTTAGAACTGCCAAGTGCCATCCTGTTGTGCTTTGTGTTCAACTGTTGAATAAAGCAGTCTTCTTTTTGTGTTTTCCATAACTAGGTCATTGCAAAAAGATGAGGATGTTTAATGTCTTTATATTCACATCCTTCTGTCATTTGCTGAACGGTAAGACACCAAATCCCTTCATTAGGTTCTGTATTTTAACTATTTTAACCATGAGTTAAAAACTTAAATAATAATTTTAAGTGGACATAATTTGTATAGAGAGAACAGTCTACTTATTTCATTTTTAAAAAATCACCTGTGTCATTGTATAAAGACAGACAAACTGAAAGAAATAAAATTCAATGATTTCCCATGAATAACTTATTGAAAATTTCTAGAGAAATGGCCTATACGTACATTATTTGCTTGTATTAAACAAAGCCAGGATCACTGTTGATATTGCTTATGACCTGCTTTTCCTGATGAAAATATTCTAAGGAAGAATTTTAGTGTGTATCGAAGTTTTAAGGGTAACACAGCACTGGTAACATACTGGGGCCCTCTCTAAATTTCCATACCCACTTACCTCTGACCAGAGAATGGATCAAAAATGTAGGGGAGTAAGAAGAGAAGATTATGAAATCTACCACTCAGACTGTGTTGAAAGCAAAGGACATTCTGGGGATGTCGATGTGAAAATAGGTCTCTGTGGTTATAAGTTCTCCATCACCATATAATATTTTTACAGGAATGTATGTTTACAAATTGCGGGGCAACTTGTTTAGCTAGTTTTATAATTGTAATGCAGGGATCAGAAATAGTGTCCCAAAACATGTTTCAAGCCCACTGGATAAAACATGTATTTTAAGGAACTAAAATCCTTAAATATAATTATCCTATAACTCACCAGATAAGGTGATTGCAAGCCCTCTACCCATTTTGTAAATGTTTTAAGGAATTTTCTATGTTCTGAAGATTTGCCATCTTTCTTTTCAGCCTTTAGTATCACTGTTCCCAAGGACCTGTATGTAGTTGAACATGGCAGCAATGTGACAATCGAATGCAAATTCCCAGTAGAAAAACAACTAGACTTGGGTTCATTAGTTGTCTACTGGGGAAAGGAGGATGAGGAAATTATTCAGTTTGTGCATGGGAAAGAAGACCTGAAGGTTCAGCACAGTAGCTACAGGCAGAGGGCCTGGCTGTTGAAAGACCAGCTCTACCAGGGAAATGCTGTCCTTCAGATCACCAATGTGAAATTGCAGGATGCTGGGGTTTACTGCTGCATGATCAGCTATGGTGGTGCAGACTACAAGTGGATTACCTTGAAAGTCAATGGTAAGAATTATTGTAGATAAAGAAAGCTAAACCTTAATGAAAAACATATCCCAAGTGTTGAGAGCTTATCATTCTTAGAAGTTCAGACTTAATTTCCAACAGAATACCAGCAACCTTGGGCTGGGGATGTGGCTCAAGTGGTAGCGCGCTCACCTGGCATGCGTGTGGCCCGGGTTCGATCCTCAGCACCACATACCAACAAAGATGTTGTGT